CTTTGTACAAAAAAAAAAAAAATGGAAAAAAGAGATATAAGGAAGAAGTCAAAGTATCATTATTCACAGATGATATGATCCTCTACTTAAAAGACCCCAAAAATTCCACTAAAAGATTCCTAGAATTAATAACCAAATTCAGAAATATAACTGGACACAAAATCAACATACAGTAGGGCCAGGGATTTGGCTCAGTGGTTCCGCTGCCTGCCTCACAAGCAAAAGGACCTCAGTTCGATCCCCGGTACTCACCCCCACAAATAAATAAATTTAAAAGATCAGCATACAGTAACAAATAATATTCCTATATACTAATAATGAACTCCCTGAGGGTCAGGGATTTAGCTCAGTAGTATTGTGCCTGCCTCGCAAGCACACTGTTGTGAGTTCAAACCCCAGTACCAAAAAGAGAGTATAAAAACAGTATCATTCACAGTAGCATTAAGACAAATCACACACTTGGGAATTAAGCTAACTAAGGAAGCGAAAGCCCTCTAAAGTGAAAACTACATCATTCTGAAAAAGAGGATTGAAGAGGACAATCAGAAAATGGAAAGATACCTCATGTTCCTCGATAGGCAGAGCCAATGTAGTCAAATGGTTATACAGTAAAACATTGAATTACTAGTAACTTGTTCTGCAAGTGTTCCACGAGATAAGCAAACATTTCTAATAAATTTTAACTCGATGAATGAGTGATGCCTTGCTGTATGAGTAGTACATATGCTGAATGTCACATAACGACTGAGCTAATGTGTATCCTCCTCTTCTCCCCTCCCCTTCCCTCTCCTTTCCATCCTTCACTTCAAATCAGATTAGGAAGATGTGAAAAATATGGGAAGCAGTGCAAAATACAGTAGAAAGTAACACCCTAATAAGGCAGTAGCAGTGTAAGCAATTAATCTATTTAATGACAGTGTGTTGCATTTCCATGAAATTCTCAAAAAGAGGCAAAAGCATTTGTCAGTGGATAAGTCCCTTGTTAAAGTTGTCAGAAAAGTAAGATTCCACTGAGCAAATAGCAGTGATTCTGTTAGTGACAGTGGAAGTCATCCTACGTACGCTATGACCCCTCCTCTCTTATCTCTCACGCCAACCATGAAGGTTTTCAAAGGTTAATTTATTTTTCTTTATATTGTATTATGTTACAGTATTATATATATATAAATATATATATATATTTTTGGTACCAGGGATCAAACTCAGGTCCTTGCACTTGTGAGGCAGACAGCACCACTGAGCTAAATCCCTAGCCCTATGATTATTTATTACATGAATATTTTTGGTTTGTGGAACAAATCATGAGTTGCCATTATTTCTGACGGGAAATTTGCTTTGATATACAAGTGCTTTGGATTACAAGCATGCTTCCCGAATGAATTATGCTTGCAAACCAAGGTTTTACTGTACTTCCGAAACTGATGGATAGATTTAATGCAATTCCAATCAGAATACCAGCAGTATTCCTTACAGGTCTAGAGAAAGCAATCCAAAAATTCATATGGAACCACAAGAGACCCAGAATAGCAAAAGTGATTCTGTGTAACAGTAGCAAAGCAGGAAGCATCACAATCCCAGATTTGAAACTATATTATAAAGCTACGGTAATAAAAACAGTGTGCTACTGACACAAAAACAGAAATGTGGATCGGTGGAACAGAGTAGAGGAAGGAGTAACAACCCCAGACATATTCAGCTATCTCATCTTTGGCAAAGTGGCCAAAAATATACACTGGAGGAATGATAGCCTCTTTAATAAATAGTATTGGGAAAATGGGACATCCATATGCAGATAACTGAGTCTAGACACTTTAAAATCAAACTAGATGAAAGGTCTAAATGTTAAAAGAACACAATTTGCTGGAAGATAAAATATGTAAAAGTTTTGAAGACATAGGCATAGGCAAGGACTTTCTGAACAGAACCCCAGTGGCATAAGGAGCTATTGATAATCAACAGTAAGAAACTATTGATAATCAATAGATGGAATCATACCATATTAAAAACTTTCTGTACATCAAAGGAAACAGCAGTGAAGAGACAACCTACAGAATGGTAAAAAAATTTTGCCAGCTATTGCTTAGGACTAACATCCAGAATACAGTATATAATCCCAGAAAAATTGGACCCCCTCAAAATAAAAGACCCAGTCAAAAAAATGGGCAGTTGAAGTGGACTTCTCACAAATACACTTCTCACTAGTATAAATGGCCACTGAATATGTGAAAAAATGGTCAAGGGCCAGGGATTTAGCTCAGTGGTGTTGCTGCCTGCTTCACAAGCTCAAGGTCCCAAGTTTGATCCCCGGTGCTGCCAAAAGAAAAAAAAAGTTCAACCTCACCAGATATTAGAGAGTACAAATTAAAATAATACTAAGATGCAATCTTACCCAGAAAAAATGGCTATCATCGAGAAATCAAATAACAAAAAGTGTTGGCAAGGGTGCAGGGGGGAAAGGAACCATTTTACGTTACTGATGGGAATGTAAACTATTACAACCAGTATAGAGATCAATATGGAGATTCCTGAAAAAACTAAAACTAGAAATTTCATTTGACCTAGCTATTCTCCTTCTAGATATCTTCCTCAAAGAGTTAAAGACATATTACATGATACATGCATACTTTATAGGAGTACAACTTATAATAGCTAAACCTTAGAAACAGCCTATATATCTACAACAGATGAGTAAAGAAAATATTGCATTTATACATAGCAGGATACTGCTGTGCCCTAAAGAAGGATAAATGAGTCATTTGTAGATAATTGGATGTACTTCAAGACCATACTATGAAGTCAGACACACAAGTTTAAATATCATAATGGTTTTTCTTATATGAGAATCCCAAAATATAAAGCATAAAACAAAAGATAATAGGAAGTAGAGATATACTTTTCAAATAGGAGGGGAAGCAAAATGAGTGAGGGTGAAGGGAAGGAATGGAAAAAGGGTAATGAGAATTGAAAAAAATGAAAATAGAGCTTTTGCAAATGGAAAGAGGGACAAGAGTTGGAGGGAGAATAGAGGGGTGGGCAGGGAAGTGGGCCAAAAAAAAAATCAAGATGTGTTAAGTATGTGTACAAAACTCTCCATAGTAAATGTAATCATTATGTACTTCAAACATATAATTAAAAAGTAAAAAGTGAAAAAAAAAACGATAGCTGTTAGAGGTAGCAGTGCAGGTGGAATTGTACGTGGTTGGATTCTACATGTATTTTTGTAAATAGAGAATTTGCTGACAGCTTGGAAGAGAAATGTAAAATAAAGGAGTCAAGAATGACTCCAGGGTGTTTTGTTTTGTTTTGTTTTTTTCAATTTGAGCATCTGGAAGGATGGAGTTGACAACCATTACACAAGAATGCTTGTAGAAAGAAGTTTGTAGGGAAGATGAGAAGTTCAGTTTTGTATATGTTAAGTATGGGGGTGTCTTTTAGATACCCAAGTGGAGTTGTTTTGATTTTAGGATAAGGTTTTGGGTGGAAATAATAAAGTTGATTAGGACATATTTTTACAAAGATGATATTTAAAAACCATTAAGGGGCTGGAGATTTAGCTCAGAGGTTCCATTACCTGCCTTGCAAGTGCAAGGTCCCAAGTTTGATCCCATGTACCAAAAACAAAAACAAAAAAACCATTAAGACCCAATAAGTAGTGTTCTCAAGGGAATGAGTGTAGACAGATAAAAGAAGAAACAACCAAGAACAGCCCTAGGAAATAATCATATTAAAGAAGAGGGCCAGGGATTTAGCTCAGTGGTTCTGCTGCCTGCCTTGCAAGCACAAGGTCTGGAATTTGTTACCTGGTACAAAAAAAAAAAAAAAAGTAGAAGAAAAGGAATCTTCAAAGACTATGAAAGGAAGGAACAATCAGTGAGGTAGGACGTAAACCTAGAAGATGTGTCTTGGGAGCTTCAAATAAGAAAGTAAACCACAGAGGAGCAAATGGTCAATTGAAGAGTTTGCCGATGGGTAGGACAAATACTAGAATTTAAAATGATTAGCAGTGTGTAGGCCATTGGTTACTATGGAGCCTTCAGTAGGAAATGGCCAGGTAAGAACTGTTTATATAAAATAACTGCCCTTGATAGGTCGCCATTTTGGTTAGCTACCGCCATTTTATACCTTAAATTTCCATTTCCTACATCACGCATCATTGGTCAGTAAGAGAAAGCGATGCGTGAGCAAGGCTTGTCTATATAAGGAATGGATCCCAAATAATGATCCCTGAGTGGCTGCCCATGCAGCTGATGCAATTCCCGCTTACACCAGCCACCCACTATATAACCAAGCCTCTTCCACCCAGCTCTCTCTCTCCTTCCTCCTTCTCGGAGTAGGCCGCTGTGCTGCCGTGGCTCTACAATAAATCTCTCCTACAAGCTCTGTTGGTGTGTGAAGTGATCTTTGGCAGGCTCCGGTTTCTTTCAGTTTACACATATTTTATTTTAACCCACCCCTCTTCCCCCCAGCTCTCTCTCTCCTTCCTCCTTCTCGGAGTAGGCCGCTGTGCTGCCGTGGCTCTACAATAAATCTCTCCTACAAGCTCTGTTGGTGTGTGAAGTGATCTTTGGCAGGCTCCGGTTTCTTTCAGTTTACACATATTTTATTTTATTTTCATTGAGTTTATTGGTACTTTTTAAGTATACGGTACAGTTACATTCATCATTGGGATCTTGTACCTTTACATGACAGGTCTTGGTTCTCATTTTTCCCGTTACCCCTGCCCTCCCTTAAACCCCCTCCATCTCCCCTATTTACAAAGAGACTTTGTTTCCATTTTTTCCTTTTCTCATATTTTTTCTTTTCCCTTATTTCCTTTCCCCTACCCTTCCCACTTCCCCTACACTTTTAGCCCTTATCTTCCTATTTCATATTATCAATTATACAATTTGGATCTTATTTTACACTTTTAGTTTTTCACACCAGAGAAACTATTCAGTATGTTTACACTTGTTTTAAATGGAAATTTTTGATTCATAAAGTATCTTCTTTCCCATGTTCAGGTTTGCTGTCCTACTGGTGGTACGTCTGACAGTGGGTCACAACTTGGTACAGTGGGTAGCCTGATCATGAAATCACAACTTCAGATCACTGGTAAGTTTTAAAAAGATCTACCCACTACTTTACTCCTCCCATGCCCAAGATTAAAAAATAATCTTAAGAGAACAAAAGCTGTAATGGCTGTTACTTCTCAGGTGCTGAATTAATGTTTGCTGAATGAATAAATGAGCAAAATGTGTGGATATATAAAAATTTTTTAAAATTTCAGAGTATTCTTGGATATTTTTGCAGGTTAAAACAAAAAATCATTAAACATGCCGGGTGTGGTGGTGCACGCCTCTAATCCCAGCACTCAGGTGGCTGAGGCAGGAGGATCAGCCACAAGTTTAAGGCCAGCCTGGACTACATAGTAAGTTCAAGCCCAGCCTGGACCGCATAGCAAGAGCTTGTCTCAAAAAAACAAAACAAGAAAAAAGATCATTAAACATAAGCACCTGGTCAATTGCTGTTTTTTCGTATTAATACTTTTATTGAGGTCTGATTCACATCTGTACACTTTATCCATTAAGAATCAGTGTTAGTACATAAACAGTTATGTGTGCATTATGACAGTTAATTTTAGAACATTTTCATCACTCCCCACTTTCCCCAGCAACCCACAGGCCTGCACAATGACTTATCTACTTTTTGTCTATAGATTTACCTATTCTGAATATAAATGAAATCATACAATGTGTGTCTTCTTTCACTTAGCATAACGTTCTTAAGGTTGGTGGATCCATGTTTTAGCATGTATCAGTACTTCATCCCTTTTTATTTTCAAATAACACTTCATTGTATGAATATACCACATTTTATTCAATAGGTGATAGATATTTGGGTTGGTTTTACTTATGGGTATTGTGAATAAAGCTCTGAAAATAATGCTATGAACATTTGTGCATGTTTTTGTGAGAATGTTTTTACTTCATTTGGATATTTATCTAGGAATGGAATTGCTGGGTTATACAGTATTCATGTTGAGCCTTTTGAGGAATTCCAATTTATTTTTCGGAGCAGCTGTACTGTTTTGCATCTCCCCCAGCATTATATGAGGATTCCAATTTCTCTACCTCCTTGCTAATGTCTTTTACCTGTCTTTTTGGTTATGGCCTTCTTTTTTTTGAGACAGGGTCTCACTATGTAGTTGAGACTGACCTGGAACTCACTATGTAGTCCAGGTTAGTCTCGAACTCACAGCGATCCTCCTGCCTTAGCCTCCTGAGTGCTAGGATTACAGGCTTGCACCATCATGCCCAGCTGGTTATGGCCATCTTAATGGGTGTGAGGTAATGGCTTTCTGTGATTTTGACTTGCATTTCTCGGATGGCTAATGATGTTGAACATTTTCTTTTTTCTTTTTTTTAATTGAGTTTATTGGTACATGTTAGGTATACAGTACAGTTACATTCATTATTGGGATCTTGTACCTTTACATGACAGGTCTTGGTTCTCATTTTTTCCCCTTGTCTCTGCCCTCCCTTCACCCCCTTCTCCTTCCCCATTTATAAACATTTTATTTCCATTTTTTCATTTTGTCCTATTTTTTTCTTTTCCCTTATTACCTTTCCCCAGCCCTTCCCACTTTCCCTACACCTTTAGCCCTTTTCTTCCTATTTCACATTGTCAATTATCTCATTAAGATCTTATGTACTATTAAAGTTTTTCACACCAGAGAAACTATTCGGTATTTACACACGTGTGACTTAATTATTTCGCTTAGGAGTAAACATTTTCATGTACTTGCTGGGTATTTGTATATCCTTTTTGGAGAAGTAAATGCAAATTGTTTGCTTGCTAATATTAATGTTTCTTTCTTCGTTTATCCTTATAACGATAAATTGCACCACTTTCAAACTAATAATCTTAATGGGCCATCTGATATGTTGCATCCTTGCTCAAAAAACTTCAGTGCTTCTTTTGACTATGGGACAGAATTTTTTATCCTCAGCTCAGACCTTTCATAGTTTGCCTCTATATGATCTCTTTGGAGCTCTTTATATGTTATAATATTCACCAGGGTGAGTCACTAGATTTTCTTCAGACATGCATGTACCTGTATCTCTATCACACAACAAAACTCTAGTCTCTTTCCCTTTAATGTAACAGTATTTATTGTCGAAAAATGTTCATCCTCTGCATATTATTTTAGTTTGTACTATACCTGATTTATACTTTCTTCTTTTGGAAAGTGAATAAATTAGACCATAGACCATAATAATTACTGTCTTTTTCAAAACCTAAAGGTGATTGAGTTAAATAAAAGTAGTACTGCGTAAGAGCATCTTAGAATGTTTTTTTTTTTTAGGATTTGTTCCCTAATTCCAGTCACTTTCTTCACCAGTACTTGATTCTCAAAGACATTATTATTTCCTTCTAAAATCAGATTGCTTTCCTCTTCCCCTTCCATGCACTAGCCTGGTTTAAGTTGGACTAGGATTCTTACAGCTTTGGGGGAAACAAAGAAGAGAGCTTAATATTGAAGTCTTTGATTGGAATGGCCTTTTAAAACTTTTTTCTTTTCAGATTATATAAGTAATACATATAGTTCTTTTAAAATCAATAAAATAATAAAATGATAAATTATCATTTTTCAAAGCAACCATTGCTCATAGTTTGGTTTTATCCCCTTTGATAGACAGCTGTGGACCACAAAGTTGTAATCCTTAATCACCTTAACTTTGTCCAAAACTTCTGAGAATATTGAAGTATGGGAGAAAAAACAATAAAAACAAACTATGAATAATGGGTAAAAGTATATATGTAGCAAATGTATCCTTAGATGTTGTGTTAGCTCTCCACTGCTGTAAAAAAAAAAAAAACCCAAAACCCCAAACCCTATAATCAGCTTTTCCCCAGGCACTTGGAATTGAACCTGGGTCCTTGTTTATGCTAGGCAGGTACTCTGCCACTCAGCTGTGTCCCCAGCTCTTTTTATTTCAAGACAACAGCTTTGCTAAATTGCCCAGCTGCCCTTGAACTTCCCGTCCTCTTTCTTCAGTAGCTGAAGTAGTTGGGATTACAGGCATGTACCATCGTACCCTGTGAAATAATAAATGTATAAAAAGAAATGGGTCATTTTGGTTTATACTTTTAGAGGTTCCAGTCCATTCCAAGACTCACTGCAATTTTAGGCTGTGGTGGGGGCAGCACTTCATGCCAAGACCAGGTCACACATCTAAGCTGCTTACCTCATGGCTGTGTTGTTAAAGAAAGATGAAGAGGCCGTGTCTTAGACTGTTTCATTCAAGGGCGCTTCTCTATGATTAAAAGATACTCCAATAGGCTTTACCTCCTAAAGTTTCTGCCACCTCCTACTAGTGTTAATCTAGGGCTTAAATTAAGCCTTTCACATCTGGGTGTTTGGGGAAATTTAGGATCTAAACTATAACTGGTAGGAAGCAAGTTGAGAGCGTAGATGAGTGATGGCGAGACCAAGTGCCCAAACTGGGACCAAAAATCTACTTATTTATGGCAAAGTGACAACACTGCAACTAAGCTTGAATACTGAGGTTTTAGTTTCAAAAAAACAACTCATACATTAAAAGCACAATAATAGAACTTTCAATGATAGTGACACATGTCATAGGTTTGCTACCACTAGCATAGGTAAAACACAATAAAGTGTCAAGTTGAGTGCAATCAAGTGCCCATTGTAATTCATAAAGTTTACCTCTTAATTTTGATGCCAGAAACCTCAGAACTTTTTCATATAAAGTTACTGATTTTATATTTTTAATTATGTTAGTGGATATTTATATTAACGTATTTGTTCTTTTTGTTTTGTTTTGTTTTTTTGTATCGGGGACTGAACTCAGGGCCTTCCTTGCACTTGTGAAGTAGGCACAGTGCCACTGAGTTAAATCCCTGGCCTGTGTGTTTGTTGTTAAAGTAACCTGCTTCAGCATCTTTCTAGAACTAAGGGATAAATGTGCAAGTGTTAAAAAAAAACCAAAACACCAAAGTGCGTGGTAATTTCAAGAGAGGTGACAACTCTGATCAGGGAAAAGAGATTAATATTTAGGTAGAATTTCTGGGAAAGGAGTAGGTACTTGAAGCGTTGGTACTGTTGAGATAGAGTGAGGTAGAAAATGATCCTTTGGGGAGGAAATATGTACGACACTTCTGCTAATGTCCCTAAAAGCCAGTGCTGCAATAGAGGGAGCTGTGAGAATGACTGGGAATGGGTTAGCTCCTTCAGGTATCAGGGTTTAAGAGAGATTCATTGCTAAAGAAGATGAGAGGGAGATAATGATGATATGCACTGTGTATACACGCATTGAGACATCACATTGTTTAATTATGTATTGATTTTTAAAATATGTTGAAAAACAGTCTGGCAGGGTGTAGTTGCACATGCCTATAATCTCAGCACTCAGGAGGCTGAGGCAGGGGGATTGCCATGGGCTTGAGGCCAGCCTGGGTTATACAGTTGAGTTCCAGGTCAGTCTGTACTGCAAAGCAATACCCTGTCTTGAAAACAAAAACAAAAGCAGTATGAAGTCTAAAAAGCTACCAGAAACAGAGCTTTTGTTTCCTGTTAGGCCCATATGGCTCTTGTTCTAGATTTAATCAGTTTCAGAGATTCTTGAGAGTCCTTCAAATACGGTGGATATATGCATGATTGTTTGGGTTTTTGCTTTCAAAATGTATTAAAATTAGAGATTTTTCTATTTTTCTATGGCAATCCTACAAATTAATTTTGGCTCTGTATTAAGTGCTAGAATTTTATTTATTTTAAAGCAGGAAAGTTTTATTTTAGTTCACACGTACTGAAGTTTTATACCCTATGGTATGTTTTAATCAGAAATAAGCCCGGTCTCTTGACATACTTTTTGTTCTGGAAAAGACTTCCTACTTTCTTTTTCCACTTAAATGTCTCACAAGCATCTTAAGTTTTATACGTGCATTATTAAATTCTTAATTTCTGGTGTCCATGCCCCTCTCCTGACATTTTTCCTTTCGTAGATCTTCCATCTTGTTAAATAATAGCATCTTTCATCTAGTTTTTTGTGACAGAAGCCTGTGTTATCCTTACTTCTTTGTTTCCTCTT